AAACCATGGCATGACCATTGACTAAGAAGCTAAATGACCGTTTCAATTGGGGGAAGGCGGCTACATAGACTTTCAAGAAGCTGAAGAAGGCGATGACTAGTGTATCAATGTTAGCATTTCCTGACTTCAGCAAGCGATTTGTGATAGAAACAAATGTGTTAGGATATAGACTGAGGGCAGTGCTCATGGATTAGCGAGCTATCGCCTATTTTAGTCAGGTGTGCATAGCCAGGGTGAGACTCAAGTCGTTGTACGAGAGGGAGCTGATGGTTATTTTATTGGCTATTAAAAAATGACAAACCTATTTATTGGGAAGGCATTTCCTTGTCAGGATAGATCAAATGAGCCTAAAACATTTGTTGGAACAACGGATAATCTCGGAGGAGCATCAACGATGGTTATTCAAGTTGTTTGGATATGACTTTGAGATACAATACCAATCGGGCTTAGAAAACAAAGAAGTGGACGCCTTATCCCGAAAAGGCAAAGAGTCTTAGTTAGCAGCTTTGTCAGTACCCATGATCCTAGATTGGGAAGCTTTGAAACATGAGAGTGAACATGATGAAGGACTGAGGAAGATCAGATCAGATTTGCTGCAGAACCCAGATATTCATCTTGGTTACACGTAGGAGTCCAGCTGCTACATTAGGGGAGATTAGTTCTACCAAGAGGATCGGGTTACATTCCCAAGTTATTACAGGAGTTTCACGGCAGTACAATTGGAGGAGATTCAGGACCTCAGAAAACCTACAGTCGATTGTTAATAGAATTATGCTTGGTGGGGATGCGCCACAATGTAGATGATTGGATAGCCATATGTGATGTGTGCCAAAGGCACAAGTTCTTAGCCATGACACCAGCAGGGTTACTATAGCCTCTAGCCTTGCCGGAGAGGGTGTGGGAGGAAGTGACTTTGGATTTTTTTTTGAGGGATTGCTGCTTTCGGAGGGATTTTCAGTGATACTAGTAATAGTGGATCGTCTGAGAAACTATGCATTCTTCATCCCTCTGAAGCACCCTTACATTGCTGTCTCTGTGGAAACTGTTTTTTTATTAAAGGTGGTACGCTTGCATGAATTTCCATAATCCATTATGTCATATAGGGATAAGGTGCTTCTTAGCCACTTTTGGAAAGAGTTGTTCTATTTACAGGGGACAATCCTTAAGAGTAGCACAACATACCATCCCCAGATAGATGGACTCGCAGAATTGGTCAACAGAAGCATATAGACCTATTTGAGATGCTTTATATCAGACATGCCGAAGAGTTGTGCAAGGTGGATTGCGTTGGTAGAATATTAGTACAACACCTCATTACCATTCATCAACAAAGACAACACCTTTCAGGATTCTCTATGGGAGAGATCCTTCCAATATGATTCATTATGGAAAGAGCGCTACACCTGTGTTTAGCATCGAACAATACTTAGGGGAGAGAAACATTGTATTATCTGAGCTAAAGGGACATTTGTTGAGAGCCTAGCAGATCATGTAAATGAAGGATGATGAGCATAGGCTAGAAGTAAACTTCAAGTTAGGAGATATGGTTTACTTAAAATTGAGGCCCTACAAACAGAAATCACTTGCCGAAATAAGGAATGAGAATTATCCCCTCGGTACTTTGGGCCTTGGAGTGTATTGAAGCAGCAGCCTATTGATTGAGGCTACCACCTTTATCATCTTTGCACCCAGTCTTTTATGTCTCACAACTGAGGAAGGTGATAGGAGAGCATACATCATCATCTCTATTCCCGACTTTGACAGAAGACATGGAGGTTATTTTGAAACCTCTAGAAGTAGCGGGTGTGCGTAGAAGGGAGACAGGGACATAGGAGGTGCTAATCAAGTGGAAAGATCTGATAGAGAATGAGGCCACATGGGAGCCATATGAGACAATCAGGAGACAGTTCCCTAGGTTCCACGTTGAGGACAAGGTGCATTTTAGGGAGGAGAGTATTTATACAAGAAAGGGCAGTTGAGACCAATAGGGGGCGAACAGAGCAAGGAATTCGGTCCCTCTTTGTGGGGCCCATTAAACCTATTATTACATATGTGAGAAGAGGAATTAAAGAAGGAATTAGTTAGGAATGATTTCTTAATTGAAATTCAAATTGACCGACCACAAGTATATTTCTACCAATAACATATAGCGGAGATATTTGTTCGACCACATGTAATATGAGGCATATGAAGTCAAAATTTATTTCAAATACTATTTTCTAGGAGGGGTAGAAATACATAAAAAAATTATCATCTCTCCAAAATTCATTAGGCTTCAATTGAGGAGGTTAAAATGAGACTTTATGATAGATTTCTTCACCTATTGGATGGATGCCTCTAACTTGTCTTATACATATCCGCAGTTGCCTTTTTTTATTATGTAATATGGCAATTCACTATAATTTTGTCTTGTTTACTCATTTGATTATTATATTATAATATTTTGCATTAAGTAAAAAAGATGCGGATGCTTGAATTAACCTTTTAATTGATCACAAATAACGACTTATTATACATAACTACCTTTTTTAATAATGAAATTTTTAAGTTAATTTTATAAGTTTCTCACTTTGCTGGCTCCATATATGAAAGGAGGCATCTTAGGCAAAAGGATTTTATACATCCTTCAGAATTGGTATGGGAACTTTTTTATGAAAATATCACGACTTCACTAACAAGTACCATTTTTTAAAACCTCGAAGCAACATGCTGGATGGTCAAGAACAAAGCACTGGTATTATTGCCATCTATCACTTGCAATATGTTAAAAGCATCAATCGAGGTTAGCTTGCCACTAATCAATGATTTCAAACATTTGAACTCCGTTGCCCTTGGAACTAGTCACTCCCCTAGAGTGCAACTTGTATTGCTCCCAGAAGCGGCTCTACCCCTCACCTTTGCCTTCTTATCTCCAAGTTTGTGCGTGTAGTTCCTACTTTGTCTTGACTCGCAGTTGCACCTCGTTGAGCTACGAAGTTTCATTTTTTCGTCCTTAACAGTCATGTGCATGGGACGAGACTGCAATTTTCTTGCACCTACATTGATGGTTTCTATCAAACATTCAAACCGTCTAGGGCTGCAGCTTGGCTCTCTTCTTTCTTAGGTTATCGCTCTCTTTTGAGTAACATTCTCTTTTCCTTATTTCATGTCTGTTATGCACGTGCCCTGACCTTTTTAGGCTGCTCAACTCAGCTTGTCCTCTCTTCTCAACTCTTGCTCAACTAGCTCCCTTGTTTGATTATCCTGGGGTTTTGGTGGTTCCCTCTGAGCTATTGTTGCCGCTGCTTTGTCTACTGCACATACCTCTTGGTTTATTGTAAATGTGGTAGGTGGATTGTTGGTTGCAAGTTGCTTCCATCTTCTTCCATGTAATCCCCATGATTTTTTTTGTGTGAAGACCTAGACACATTTGCGTAATCAAGTTTATACTTTCCAAGATGAACCTACAATTGTTTTCATTGATTCATTAAACTTTCTTGGCCATTCTTTCTCTCTATTTTTGGCATTGGCTTATCTCAATATGGATGTCATTTGCAAATTTATGTCAGATTTATAATTAGTTGGTGAATATCAGTCAATCTTATTGATCATCATCACATCATTTTAGAATTTTTGTCGACTCAAATTACCCCAGCCTCTTTTCTCGTCATACCTACTATTTCAGTGGCTTTTCAATGCAAATGTTGAAGTGTTTCTGCCATTTTGATGCTTATGAGGGACCACCTTCTCCTAGATTACATTTATATTTCTCCAATCAATCAACTCTATACTATTTGAGATTTATTTTTGATAAACTTTTGCAAGTTAAGCTGCTACTGTTCATTTTACTAGGCCATTGGTGGCCAAGATCATTGTGGAAATAGATGTTAGTTCTCCTCTTCAAAAGATGGTGTTGATTAGCACATCATCGTGTGATTAATGGTGGAAGGTTGAATTTAAGGCACTCCCCCTTGTTGCTTATTCTGCAATATCTTTGGTTATGATTGCTTCAAAGTCTTTTCAGATTTAATGAAAGCAAATGCTTAGGCTCAAGTGATACATTTAAATGGTCAAATCATTTTTCTTCCATAACGATTGGTGCTCCTTCATCAGTTGAGGTTTGCTGTTAGAATAAGTGACTAATTGATCTTCCTTTGGAAGTTAATGTTAGTGTGCATCATCATTAAAAATTCTCCCATTAGAATGAAATAGAATGCAGTGAATCGTTATGGGAGAGACAGGCTATAGAGCATCATTTTAGTATTTTTCTTTTTTTTTTTCTCTTGCAATTCTTGCTAATTTCCTTTGTTGTACCCTAATCATTATCTATTTATAAAATTATGTTAACAAAAATATATAACGAGCGTCAATTCAGCTTAGTATTATTTCAGTCATCAATATATTACTTCAATGTTAAAATTTTGATTCCTTATTTACTAATTATTATGGGTCCAATTGCTATTTGTACTAGGAAGCCGCTTAAGTAATGCAGCAAACTTTTATATCACATTGGACTGCTATTGGTTTTTAAAGTGAAGAATAAACATGGATTTGATCTCGTGCAACAGCAGCTGAAATGCACGAATATCTTTATTCTGAACCGTTCATTCTTTATTTTAACTGGACAACCTGAAACGTCTTTCAAAGTTTAGTTTGTTTAAATGAATAAAAAAATATCAAACAGTAAAATTATCTAAATGATTGCACTCCCCGAAAATTTTCTTTTAAAATGAAAGAGATGCTTTTAAAAAGGACTTCTCCAATGGCTTAAGTATTCATGAAATGATCAGCTTAGTTTGAGTGTTTTTCCTCTCTGAAAGGCCAATGATATTTTTATAATCTTTATTTGTTTTTACTGGAAATTATATGATAATTTCTATGATAGTTCTTTTCTAAGATACACATCGTTGAAAGCAGTAAAATCATAAGAGCTATTACTACAACTACTTTAAAAAAATGTTCTACTTAATTTGGGCTATTGTTTATTTTTTCTGAGATGGAAATTTCATATTTTATTTCAGGACCGTATCACATTATTGTTGTGTGATTATCGCCAACTTCCAAGCTCTCAAAAATATGACAGGATTATATCTTGGTATTGTCAACAACCAAGTTTGTACTCATGCCAAGTTTTTTTTCTTTCTAGAAGATTTGAACATGGTGATCTAAAATATCCTGTACCATAGTGCATTTTCATAATGCAGGTGAATCTTTTATCATAGCATGAATATTTTGCATGCTAACCACACCATGCATTTATGTCCTTGGATACAGTTGAATTCAGAAAGTTAACAGACTTGGAGAGTGTGTGGAGATTCTGTGAGCATGAAATTAAGCTATAATAACAAACAAACAACAACATCAAGCCTTTATCCCACTACGTGATTTTGCATGCTAACCACACCATGCATTTATGTCCTTGGATACAGTTGAATTCAGAAAGTTAACAGACTTGGAGAGTGTGTGGAGATTCTGTGAGCATGAAATTAAGCTATAATAACAAACAAACAACAACATCAAGCCTTTATCCCACTACGTGGGGTCGGCTACATGAATCCTTTTTCTCCATTGTGTCCTATTAAAAGTCAAATTCTCGTTTAAATCTAATAAAAAAAGGTCATTCCTAATATTTTCTAACTAAGTCTTTTTAGGTCTACCCCTACCTTTCTTAACACAAGTCAAATCTAATACCTCTACTCTCCTAACCGGGTCATCGCAAGGCCGCCGTTTTATATGACCAAACCATCTAAGGCGACTTTCTCTAATCTTATATTCTACTGGAGCTACTCCAACCTTTTCACGTACATGCTCATTTCATATCCTATCTCTAAGGGTAAAGCCACTAAAAAATAATAATAATAATAATAAATATAATATTA